TCCTGGCTCATTGCTTTGATTCCAAGATTGCTTCCTATACCACATAAATAGTTTTCATTCACATGGGCAATTACTCAATTGGATGCTTTCAGTACTTTCAATGAAAACCCCTGATTTTATAAGAAAATGTTTCTTTTTTTTAATAAGAAAATTATTTGGGTTTTCACAAAACATAATACAAGTAAAATTTCTTTTTTTGAGAACAGCATGGTCCCGGGTTATCACTTCTCCATACAGACACAAATTCAATTACATATTCATCTTTGTGTTCTATTCCATATCTTATTACTATTTTAACATTTTCTCAATAATTTTTCCCTTCCCTTAGTTTTCTCAATCTTTTAATTATCTCATTCCTTTCTAAATTCAATTATATATATCTTTTTCTAAGTTTCAATACCTTTCTAGTCATTATATTTATACTTTTGTCTGTCCTGTTTCAATTTCATATTTTCTTTTCTCATTAAACAAATTTTTTCCCTGTAGTTACTAATTGGAGTATGACATCTTTGTATCTTTTATTTTTTATCCATTCAACTCTTACTTAAACTTCAATTTGTGCCTTTACAATTATAACATTCAATGTAACACATAACTTCCAGTCGAATTCTGATTGGTACATTCTTAAAATACGCACTGTTCTTAAAGAGAAAATATATATATAACAATAATAAATAAAATACTTATTCTATTCCAATTCAGCTCTATCATTAATGTTAGTTATAATCTTTGACATCTTTAACATTTCTTTTCAATAGGGTATCATACTACTAGGAACACTTATAATATTTCCATAATTTTTAAATTTTTTCATGTTTCTTTCATATTCCCCTTCACTTAAATTTTTATAACACATTGATAATAATTAAAATGTTCCCCTCCTTTCCTAATTTCATTCTCTCATTCTCTTTATTTCATTTATTTAACATTCCATTACATTACAATGAGTATTTTATCTATCATTTTAATCACACTTGTTTCATATTTTCAAAGTTCATTTCTATTTCTAATATAACAATACTATCTTATGTACCCTTGCAGAATCCCCCTTTCAATTAAGTTTTCACCCATTATCTCTGTGTCTTCTAAATAGGCTTATACCCTTAATCCTTGTACGTTTTCCCTGTTTCTCTATGTCCTGTTTCTGTCCTTTATAATTTCTTTTCCTTTCCCTCTTCCCCCTCTTCTTCTCCCTTCCCTTTTTGACCCCTTCTCTCTCTAATTCCTATTCTCTCTTCTGTAATCCTCTCTTCTGTTTCTTCCTAATGTTGTGATTACTTTTAAAAGTATTCTTTTTGGGGGTTGTTTTTTCAGTTCTTAGATTTTTCACTCTCTTTCCCCCCTTTCCTTTCTTTTCCCCACATTGAAGATGGCTTCTTCTTTGTCCCGCCCTTCTTGTTCTACAGGCATTTCTTGTTGTTTCTCATAGTTCAGGATCTCCATTTCTAAAAATTGAAATATGAAGCCAAAAGAACCACTTCCTCCTTGTGCAACTTCTTTCTGTTTTTTAAGTTCCATTCGCAATTCTTCCAAGAGTGATACCATTTTAAAAACTTTTAAACAACCACCCAATTAATTTTAGTCCTTTAGATCCAATAGCCAAAAATCCAAAAATCACCAAGTAATCCAAATAATCCAAAGCTGTTTCTTCTTGCTTCTTTTTTCCACTTCCTCTTCCTGGGGTTCTCTTCTCTTGTTACAAAGTTTCAGTTAAAATGTATCTTTTAGGAATCTTGTTAAAATGTCACTGTTAATTCCTTTCACTTCCAGGTGGTCTCCTCCATTTTTCCAGATCCCACCTTTTTGTTTTTTCCTTCTTTTAAAAGTTTTTGAGAATCCAGAAATCTTTATTATACCTTTGACATTTTATTTTCATCTTAAATGCCTGTTAATGTCAAAGTAGATTTTTGCCGGTTTCTTGCTTAAATCTCTTAGTTGTCAATATAGGGAAGAAAAAAAAATCCTTTCCCTTCCCTCTCTCATTCACCGCTTCAAAGTCTTCTTTGGGAACAATGTTGTTCTTTATAATTCAAATTCCAGGGTACCTTATATTGTTGCTTTTTCAGTTCAACCCGGTCAACTGAAACTTTCTCTTCTTATCTTCCTCCTGCTCATTCTTTTCCGGTCAAGTTCTTCCTTGAGGTGGCCATTTCTGACCACCACTGCAACTGCCTTCAGGAAAGGGAGTAATGGCCAGCTGGGGAGAAGAGATGCGGCTCTCCTTGACCCTGCTGGCAGTCTCCCCCCTCTTCACCACCTCTATGGGGTGGCTTAGCCCCGAAACCAGCTGGCTCGGGGCGCTCCAGCGGCGAGCACAGATCGAAACTGCACACGATCGCAGATTTCAGTGTGTCACCGAAGAAGCTCAAACCGGAATGTATTTTTTCTTATTGTGATGAATGGGTGAACCCACAGTGTAAAATTTCGGATAAACCTATAAGCTGTGTTAAGAGTAACACATGTACACCTCTCATTATAATTGCGGTTTCTGGGATCTGGTTAGGTGGCATCTGAAGTACAAGTTTCCCTCCTTACATCATATCTCTTGGTAGAAATGTTCAGAAAAAATAAAAGTTCAAAGCATTAAAATGTTTCATGGTAAGGTGGGGAAAGGATGTCATCTGAATCCTAGAGAAACTAAGTCAATTTGATGTCCCAAAGGTCCTTTTTCAAAAAGCAACTGGACTTTGTTTTTCATTGAAGACGTTTCACTTCTCATTGAAGGGAAGATTCTAAAGACACTTCTTGGATGAGAAACGAAACATCTTCAAGGAAAAACAAAGTCCAGTTGCCTTTTGAAAAAGCACCTTTGGGACAACCATGACCTGGATGACTGAGAATCTCCATGGACATCAATCATTCAGTATGCATGAAAACTATTCTCAATATATGCTGATTGATGTTTGTATTTCAAAATAATGAGTATAGCTAGACTTCAGTCAATGACTACTCATTCCATCACCATTGAGAGTTATGATGGCACTGAATGAATGCAACCAATCACCAGTCCTTGAACTTTTTGACTGTCCCAGAGCCCCCCCCCATGTAATTAGGATCCAAGCATTTGTCAACTGGCTTATACTTATAATGGTTGCACTGTCCCACAGTCACATCATTGTCTTTTCAACCTTACCACAAAGTCAATGGGTTAGCTGGCAGGGAAATTTGAACTCACTCCCACTCCTGCCACTTTTTTCTCCAATGAGCCCTGTATGTTCCCTTACATTCTGTACCAGCTACTCTTGCCCATCTACACTTGTACCATCTGCATGCCTTCCTATTCTCTGCAGCAGCCACCTTGCATCTGGGCACACACCATACTGCAGTGGCCACTTATCCATCTGCCAGCTTGCTTGCAACCATTTAGGATTTGTGATTTCTTGCTGGCTTCCCCACTGGCTTTCCTTGTTGGAAACTAGCTGAAAGTTGTAAGGAAGCCTCATTTAATGACTTACGATCCTTGCTTAACTATAGCAATAGGGACTGCTGGGTCTTCAATCACTAAGCAACACAGTCATGTGATGTTATTCTTTACAATAGCATTGCTCAGCAGTGAAAATTCCAGTCCAATTATTGTTGAGGGAGAGCTACCTGTATGAATAAGGATCTGTATATGTAATTTCTAAATTCTACATTACAGGGAGTTCTCAAGTTACAACTGAAGTCTGGACTAGGATCGGCATTGTTTAAAAAAATGCAAAGCTTGTATGTGTGTGAGCTCAGGGAAGTTGGGGAACGGATGGGTGGGGTGCAGGGAAGGCTTGGAAGGAGAGTGGAGGGGCATGCATGTATATGAGCACATGGAGGTGAAAGAGGGAATGGATCAGAGGTGGGATGCTACCAGTTCGGCCTGGTTCTGCCGAGCCAGTAGTGCCGAAGATCAGCTGAGACTGAACCAGTTCTCCAGACAATCTGCTGTTGGGCCCGGCCGCCTGCCTGGGCTCCCATACTGACCTTTATTTCCTGCTTTTGAAGCACAGCCGCTTTGCGCGGCACAGTAGA